GAGAGAGAGAGAGAGAGATAATAGATCGGGAGAGAGAGAGTGGGAGGGAGGGAAGGAGGGAGAGAGAGACTATGGTATTTACCCTAGCTGATCTCAAAGCTCGAGGAGTGGTTGGAGCCCAATAACCTCTTAATCCATAATCCATCATCTTTCTTTTCGACTGCATTCCACACAGGCACTACCCAATTTCACGAAACAGCCAAAGGAAACATCTCTTCTTCTACAGATTGACCTTGCACATTATAGTCATCTTCAAATTCCCATAAATTTTAGAAGATCAAACAAATACCCCAGCATCCTGCATTCCTGCCATTCATCATGAAAAAGTATTTAAAATCTTCTTAAATAAAGCAGACATTCAGATTCCAAATTCAACCGAATCACAGAGGACCAGAGAGAGAGAAGCACGTTGGGAATACGCTTCCATTCACATTCTAAAAATATGGGCAAAACGTTTTCTGATAAACCCTGCTATGTGCAATTCCCACACATCTCACCATCCTGGATTGACACTCCTGAAAACCAATTTGGGTTGCAACTCCAATCAAATTTAAAATAAAATAAAAATGAAGTCATTGAAAAGGTAAACACCCAATTAACCCTGGCATCCCGATCCGACTAATATTAAGTTTTGATTCCTCATGTGCATATTTCAGACTCAATCTGCAAAATATTTAGAATAAAAATTGAAGCAATCGTGATAAAAACACGAACATCAAAAAGGCTTCACAAATCAAGTAAATAGAAAATGAAAGAAGAGAAAACAAATAAAGGCCAAAGATAAATAATAAACCCCGGCAATATTCCATGGCTTAGCCTCTGTTTTAATTTGAGACCCATTGACTTAACGACTAAAAATTGTCACGAAAATAACTGGGTGACATTAAAATAGAAACCAAAACAATAGTATAGGATCAGGATTTCTCTTCAATGACAATCTGGAAGCGAAATTAATAAAATCACAGAGCACGAGAGAGTAAAAACATGGAAAAAAATAAAATCACTTAAATGAAAGTAAGGCATTTTTTTCTTTTTTTAAAAAGAAAAAAAAGGGCATTAAGAATTGAATTACCTGCCCCCACGCTTATCCTTATAAAACGGGATCATTCCTTTTATCATAATAGCTGAAAAAAAACAAATTAATACGTTAGATTTTGAATTTCTCGTAATAATACTGCAGGTAAATAAAACATAAAATTCACCTTGATGAGATTAGCTTCATTGATTTTAAATTTCCGAAACTTTTTTTGCTATTTTCCTTTGGATCCCAAAGAAATAAAACATAAAAATAAAGAATGTTACAAGAGGAAAAAGGAAAAATAAAAAAAACCCCAAAACCCTAACACCGGCCTGCTATATCCAGCCGTTTTAAAAATTGAAGAAGTCAAAACCCAAAATTAAATGTTTATAGAGAGCGGATTTTGGTTTGGCTGATCCTTCTAGATCGTGGGAATCCAAAACAGACAGAATTCATGGAAAAAACGAACTTAATGGCAAGAATAAAACCCCAAAACTCTAAAACACCATGTTTTCATTTAAAAAAAACTCAATTTTTCCAAATGCTTTTCAACATAAGTCGAATTCAACAGATTGTTCATTAATCAACACAAGAATCCCATCATGAAAAATTGAGAATTATTTGAATTTTCAGGTCGGTAATTGATGTTATTTAAGATTGCATAACTTTCTTCTTTGATCTTCATGGATCCAATAAATCCGTTGGATAAATCGGAATTCCAAGAAATTGAAAATCCATGAGAAATAAAATAAAAAGCAGACAAATTTTCCCAAACAAACACTCTCTACATATCATAATTCAGGTGAAAAATCAAAACCAAAGGACAAAAAAACTTAAAAATCACAAATCAGAATAAAAACCCACAGCCATTTCCACTCATTTTCCAAAACCTCAAACTGAGAGAGCAGAGCAAAGAGATGAATTTTGGAGAAAGAAAACTTACATTGCATAATTTCTTCGCCAATCAACCCCCGATCCAAACACACACGAAATTCAAACCCCTCAATCCCTTAAAACAACATATCAAGCCACCCTTTCAACCACATAATCACCATTAAAAAACCAGATCAACAAACCTCAAAATCACCACAAAACTCCAATTCTCTAATTATTCACCAAAACCTCCACAAAAAAACCAGAATTACACCATGAACACAAAAATAAATCCTCAAAAACCCTAGGAATTCAGCCCTGAAACCCCCCTTTCTCTCTCCTCAAAAACCCTTCAAGGTAACTAGTTTCTCTCTCTTCAAAAACCTCTGCAAAATATTTGATTCTCTCTCTTCTGTCCTTAAACCCATTTTAACCACCATGTGACCAGACGAACCGGTAACCCCTCGTAAACCGGTAACTAACCTGACTATTTCTTAACCCCTCTCCTTAACCCTGGCGGTTAACTGTTAACCCTTCTCTCCTATTACTCTCTATCCCCTCAACCGCATCATCCTACGGGGAAGGAAGGTCTACTGAGAGTCTGACACGTGGGTGGGACCACGCGGAAAATAGGGAATAATAAACGTGAAAATGCGGGGATAATGTGGCTCTAAGAAGGACAGGGCGTGCCACATCAGGATAAAGTTCCTCTCTAGATGCTGACCTGGACCGCTGTCTGACACGTGGCACGTGCATGGGGTAAAAGCGTAATTGTGCAACGTCTCGAAAATGAACGTGTGGTTTGGAATTCAATTGAAGGTATCCTCGTTATTATTGATAGGCTACTATCGCCGCTCATTATCTTAGTAATTTCCACTTTACGAGAAGCCAAAATCCTTGGGTGCATGCACCAAAAAATGGGTGCCAATATTATCATCTCTTTTGATTTACTTGTTAGTTAATAATTGATTAAGAACCATGGGAGAATCTCTCCCGCTCTCTAAACTCTCTCTCTCTAACGCTAACAATGACCCAAATGCCTTAATCATTTTACATTATGACATAAATTGGAGGTCTTTTAATAATGACCATATTGAATCTGAGGTCTTTTAATAAATGACCATATTGCCTTTGTCCGATCGCTATTTTACATCCTCAAACTGATTATAAAACTAATAAATGGAAAATATAATATAAAGAACAAAACAGTCGTGCTGCGCCAAACTGGACTGGGTGTGTTGCGCCAAACTGACCTTGGCCCTCACGCAGCCCGGCCTATCCTGGGCCTTATAGGTCAAGGTGGTTCGGCCTTGGGTTGTCTCTCGATCTACATAATATAGCTCAGGCTCGGCCTTGGGTTGTCTCTCGATCTACATTTTATAATTCAAGCCCTAATCTATTAAGTCTAAGCCACCCCGCCGATTACTACCCCTAGTTACGTATTATATTGGATATTTCAAAGTCAGTATTGGTACAAATACAAATCCTATTTTTTGCTTTTTTCTGTTTTGTGGGTGAGTAAGTAGACAGGGGGACTCTTGATAAGGATTAAGTTTAGGGGGACTCTTGATAAGGATTAAGTTTAGGACGTAACATTACAAATCATCAAGCGATAAACGATTAAACCTGGGCTCTTTTCCTATTCTTCTTTGTTCTTTAAATAGCAGGATATAAAAATGGGGTTCATTAGTAGGGGTTTGAGTGAATTACGGATTATGTCCATGGAAAGAGGTGAAGGATATTTTGGTAAATTCTAGAGTTAGTAATAATGCAGGATAGATAAATGTGTGCTTTATCCATTAAAACGTAGAGGACATCAAGACATCAACGTTCAAACTGCTTAACATACCTACCCAAAAATATGTTTAATAGAATGTTTCCATATTTTTCCAGTTTGACCTTTCGCCACGATTTGTCACTAAATGTTGGTCCAACCCAATTGTATTGGCTAAATTTCTTGGCATAGTACATGCCAACATAAATTCTTTAATGGTGGCGTTTTTTTATTTTTTTGTTTTTTGAGGTCAGAGTAGTTTAAAAATTGGAACCAGGCTTTGAATTGCCAAGTGTCCATCTTTGATTTGCCTAGTCTGACTTATGTGATTCTTGAATCTAGATCATATCAATAGCAATCAACAGGACTTTGAGCTTCCTTGAACCAGAACCACCCCACTCCTAATCCAGATTCGAATCAAGCAAATCCAAGTCAAATGAGAGATTTTAAACCAACTTTTGTCTGAAAACCCATATCAGGATCGTTCGATCTATTTCGAATCATTGAGTCAATAATTCAGATCGAGTCTGGATTCAAATCAATGATCCATAAAATATTAAAAATTAACAATATAAAGTTTAAAATAAAAAGAAAAATTTATAAAATGGTATTTAAAAAATCTACAAAAATATTAAAAAAAATACACAGAGATGTAGAGAGGACAAGATAAACAATGGGATCGACTATTAACAATTTTCTAGACCAGAAACATTGTAGCACGTGTAACCTTCTTTCTCGTTAAAGCCGCCATCTTCCTCACCGGCAAGGCCATGTGAATTAAGTCCCCCTAGCCTCTTCTTTGGTTTTGATTAAAGCTTTTGAAAGGGATCTTTAACTCTAAAGAATCCCATTATTCCATAAAGTTAGCGGTGGATTTTGAAAACCATATTGCTTTATTGCATGTCATGCTTGGGTTGATCCATCCCCCTATTCCCCAATTTACCCATGACACTACCACCTTCGTTTCTACTATAAACCAAACATAGGGCTGGCAATGGGCAGGGGCAGGCCCAGCCCAGCCCAGCCCAGCCCAGCCCAGCCCAGAAAAAATAGGGCTTGTGCCACACATTATGGCCTGAGAACTGGGCTGGGGCCAATGCCGGCCCAATTTGACCCGGCAGCCCTCTTTTTATTCTTGTTTTTTTGGCTTAATTTAGTTTCTTTTCTTTTCTTTTCTTTTCTTTTTTTTTTTTTCATTTTGGTGCGGTCTGGCCCTCACAAAGCCCAGGTGGCCCTATGGGGAGGAGGGCCACCTATATATTTTCTCTTAATATAAATTATATGAACCTAAAATTATTAACTAAAAATATATATATATTAAATGAACCTAAAATTATTAACTAAAAAAATATATATTCCTTTCTCTTCAAAGAATACCTTTTTAAAGGTTTTTCTTGTTAGGTAAAGCATACCATTGCTAGTGCTTTTTGACGTGTTTGCTACATGGTACACCACAAGTGTATCTACCACTCTTTTCAATTACTAGTATTAGAAACTAATTCCAGCTCTCAGTAACAGTACATCATAAAAAACTATGGTTAATCTCAATTGTCCAATTTCATGAGCAACCATGGAGGCCTTGTCGTGTGCCATACTTTTTAATTAGGGAATCAGACCATACACATAATATGTATATTCTTCATAGTGGGAAATCTTGTCCATCGTCCATCTCACAACAGATGGTGGAGATTATGTCATGTGCTCGAAATTGACCGCCATTCCCTCAAGCAAACTAATGGTTCAGCAGTACCCTTCATTGTTGAGATGTAAAGTGGAGAAAACTATATACATGAAAAGCATTTGAAAATACTTGTGAGTGAACTTCTTTAGTATTTCATGCATGTTGTATCATTGTACAAAATCTATCAGATAGTCATGATTGTCTGATAGCATTTAAATTTTAATAATTTTAACAAATCAAATTAACCTCAAAATTTATGGGTTTGTGTGCCTCTGTGAGTTGCACATATAAATGAAATACAAAAAAATAATTCAAATAATAAAAATGATCATTTTACCTCTATAAATATTTCACAGGTATTTTTTTCAATATATTTTTAATTTAATAAAAAAATCAGGGCCCTCATTGATTTCGGGTTTCATCTAACCAGATTGTCATCCATCAATTTGAGACAGACTTAGCCTATTATGAGTCGGTTCAACAATTTTTGAAACACCATATCAAAATCTGCTCAGCAATTTTTGAAATGTTATCGACTTTATACTAATTTGTGCGTAATTTGGCCTATGTACATAGTATATCCATGTTGCTTGCACAATAAATGGATCATCATCCATAGTCTCGCTTCCTCAAAGGGATGGTGGAGATGTTGTTGTGTTTGGTCAAAAGAGCAGATCACCTCCATCCGGTTGATGAAGATGGATGGTGATCCGCCGGTTTGTGAACCATTTATTTACTGTCGTGTATATATAAAGACCATGATGATTCACTTACTGTCGGATTACTATTTCCTGTTTAGTTTCCTTAAAGGACACAGTTTTTATGAATCTGCTAACTCAAATGTAGATATGCATTCCCTCTTGATGATCTATTTTATAGATGGATTTGGACCTAATTTGTTAAGAATATGTAATATCTAACATGGAGGTCATTATTAATATGTAAAACAAATAAGTTTTCAAAACTAAAAATAATAATTTTTTGAAAAAACAACCTTTTATACTTTGGATTTTATTTTTATTTTTTTGGTAAGGACCACCCATTCACTTCGATCTCTCTGGGGACGCAAATGTAGAATTGCGTGTCTCCTTGAAGCATAAAACTTTTTCTTCGTTAAAGGCCAAGGCCAAAAGAAGTCTTTTGGATTTCTTTCATTATTCAAATAACCAAAATTAGTAAATGGCCTACGGCGACCTTTTGTAGGAAACTCATATAGATTTATGTGTTTCTTATTTCTTTTTGTTTGTTAGTATCATTTTAGCAATAAAAATTTTATATCTTCATGGAAATTTGCATTCTTGCTCCAAAGTGTGGCAATTTTTTTTTTTTTTTTTAATAGGTTTGGTTTGGGAAATCGAAAGAAGTCACCAAATATGAAGATTGGGGAATTATTCTTCGAATGAAAGCAAGGTTTGGCACCAATCTTGAAAAGCTATACAGAAAAAAAAATAGCCAAAAGCCGAGTCCTGGTCCAAAAAAGCGTAAGTCATCAAATCTCATTAATAGTCATGATAAAAAAAAAAAACACTCAATAATTACAAATTACATTAAAAAAATTTCGGAGTCTTAAAAATAGTGCATCGTGTAAGACTAGATATCTATTTTGAAGTGTTTACAAATTAGTCGGTTTTGTACTGTCCATTAGAATTTTCAAATTTTAAAATTAGGAGCTGAAAAAGATTATGAGATTACAATAAAGTGAGGCTTTTTTACGTGCTAACTTTTCCCATATGGCCCAGGTCTTATCCATAAAATAAAAATTCAATTATGAACATGAAAAATAAAGTTCAATATCATCTTGTAAGTTGTAACTAACTCAAGAGGTGCACGCGCCAGGCATGCATTATCAATTTTATAAATAACCACGTATATTGTGCTCTTGTGGGGGTACATTGTACACTTACTCCCTCAGTCCGAAGAGCTAC